GAGTGACTTGAAATGAAAAATTGATCTTCAACTGTTCACGAAAAACTGCATTTCCTGTGTTTTAATTTAAATCGTAGGTGGTGATGGGCTTTACTGTGGGAGGAATTATGAATCCAAGATAATTCTTTGGTTAATTGTGAGGATAGACAAGTTCATTGCCAAATTATTTCAACTTTTAATGGACATAGGAATCATGATTTTAAAAAGTGCCTTTCCAGGACAGTTAAGGCAAAAAGCAAACTAAAATCATGACAAATGTCTCTTTTTCTCTCTACTTGGAGATGCACACACTCCTTTCAGAGGATGGAAATGAGGTCTATAAGCATGCAGGATGGCCCATACCTTATACCAGCTCTCACGGGGTCAAGCAGGAGGCTTGCCGCAAATTCAAATGTGGTTATGTAGTGAGTCACCAGACATACACAGCCAGACATACACAGTAATTCCTACCTCTCAAAAGAAAGAAGGAGAGGAAGGAGGCAGAGAGGAAGAGAGGAAGGGAGGGACAGGGTGATAGAGAGACAGAGGGATGGAAGGACAAGGGATGGAGGGACAGAGGATGGAAGGACAGAGGGATGGAGAGACAGAGGGATGGAAGGATGAAGGGACAGAGGAATGGAGGGAAGGAAGGAAAAAGAGATCTAAAGTAGTTAAGTGTCCACTAAGACCAAACATTACCCAAGGGGTTATTTCAGACTGGAGTCCATTGGTAAATCTCCCACACTCATCTGGTAATATCCCCCAAACACCCAATAACAAGAAAAACATTCCAGGAAGATACAGAGAGACGTAATGGAGCTGTCTGGAGGGCTGGCAGAGGCTTTCAGTAAGAAGAGAAAAGAGCAAAAATCTGGGCTCATGGGCCTGTTAGGGAAAGAGCAATGAGCAAGTTCTCAGCCAGGAGACCCAAAAGGAAGTCATCGCTGTCATTTTATAGTGGAGAGAGTGACTCGTCATGAGGTGAATTCACCACGAGGGCTGTGCCACAGATGCCTACCTTAGGTCTTAGGGCATTGAATGATTTGTGGGGAACAGGGGAGCAATGCAGACAATATACAAATACTCTTCATATAGGCATTTAGTAACTTAGTTCCCACATGGTACTAAACTCTGGTACTTTGGAGATTTTTCTCATGTATACATTCCTTCTAGTTCTGTTGTTTCTTATGCTCATGTTTTTAAAAGTAAGGTTAGATGGGCTTTGAAAAACAGTAACACCAGGAGGACACAATATATCTCTCACTTAGAGAAATCCTTTATGCCCGCCCTTTCAGCATCCCGTTTCTGCTCTACCGAAGTGTCACGCTGTGACTTGGCTTAGACGTTAGAAGCTCTTCTGGTAGAGGCTCTGTGGTGTTTGGGTTCCCCTGGCACACTTCACCAAGCCTGTGCCACTGCGGCCCCTAAAGGCCATGTTAGCAGTGAAGTCCAGCCTGTCTATCCACTCATCAGCCTGTCAACGTCTGATCGATTCTAGGTTGGACTCTTAGGAATTAGGCTACAATAAATACATTGTTTTTCGGCACATTGACATAGTCATAGAGTTTGAAATGACAGGTAGCATTCGCTTAGGCCAAATAGTTTTGCAGGGGGGAACGGCAATAAAATCTTTTGTGGGTTACCATGGCACACTGACAAAATGGCCCTGGATTGGGCTGGTACTTGGTGGGGCTTGCATGCACCGTCTCTCCAGTCCCAGAACCCCAGTCGCCCTGAAGCCCAACTGAGGACGCAGCTCTTGAGAAGCAGCAGAATACAACCTTAATTTCCACACTAACTCTGATTTCTAAGCAGAGTTCTTGATGGCTGTTCAAGGTGCTACTGAACGGCTAAAGCCTGTAGCACGGGGGTACTTTGTAATCAGTTGTTTTGGGTTTCTTCTCTTTAAAAAAAATTCAACATTTACTTGGCAAACATAGAATAACATATGAATCAGTATGAAATATGATGAGGTTCAGTTGTAAAACACGTGTGAACTAGTCGCCAACTAGGAAATAGGACATTGCTCATACTTGCGCCCCTTTGGCTGTGAATCCTTTGGAAGGAGTTATGCTCCTACAATATTTCAGAAATGTTTCTAGCTTGTCATTAAAAATACTAATATTTACAGCTAAGGAAAAGAAAAAAACCTAGGTGGCACCAGGCCAGCAGCCTGAGGCCAGGCCACCAGTGGAGACTAGGAGGATGGAATCTCAGGGTCCCCACATCTTAGCAGGTTAAATTTAAGATTAACTCACCAAATGCTATCAGCTTAAGATAGCACAGCACTTACAAGCCTGCGGTCATGTAATTTAAAGTGTAATGTCCCAGGTACTGAAGAAATGTCCATGTTTGAGGCCTCAATGCATTTCCACAAGATCTGTGTGCCTGGCCAACGGGGACTCACGCAAGCTGACCCTCTCACACAGTTAGTTCTGTGCCAAGCCCATCGCATCTATCCTATCCTCTATACAATACAAACAGGGAAATGGGAAATCTGCCAGCTTTCTAGATGCTAATACTTCTCATTACAGTTGAAAGCATTTCCTAAGTAATTTCATGAATATTGCGTGCATTAAAGCCAAGACTGTTTTTCTGAGCACACAGCTAAATGTCCTTTAAAATATGTTAAATTGTGTTTTGTAATAACTTGCTGTTTGGTTTTTTTTTACACTAATAGGTACAGTTTCCTCTTAGAATCAGATGATGCTCTTTCATGTATTGTATTTCGGGAATTTGGGACAACAAAGTCAGTATGCCCAGCACTCTCGAGCTTTCCCATGTTTTCTTAGACTTCTCCACCGACATTTCTGCAGTCCTCTGAGTTAGTCCTAAGTGTTCCTGCAGTTGTAACCAGTGTACCATCCACCTAACTGGCGTTTGCCACGATGCCCACCCCACCACTTCCCAGACACAGGGACTGACCCTTCCCTTTCACTTTCTGGAGTCATGCTTTTACCTCCTCAGCTCACCTGAGGAGGTACTACAAACAGGGCTACCCAAACACTTACGGTGATTTTCTGCATTAGACATCCGTGTGCTCAATGCAATGAATGCCAATGAGAAACGAGAATTAACAGAGAACTATCTTCAGGCAATTAGGATTTCACCTGAAGAGCTGAGTTTCATTCACCCCTAAGGGGGGGGGGCTTTATACACAACCACTGAGCTTCCAGAAGTGTTTGAAAGGCACAAGTCTGGATTCTGACCACACTGGCTTTCAGCTCTCTCTACTGGCTGGAACACTTTCCGCTGCTAAGTAACCCTGCACATGTTTCTCCCTTCTCCATCTGTTCCTTCATTGGCAAAGCTGTGATCATATAAGAAAGAGGTCATGGGAGATAGATGACACACACAGTCAGCACTGTGCTGGAAGCATGTTAATCTTAAGAAGCATCAGCTATCATCTTCATCACCATCAACAACATCATCATCATCACCATCATCATCATCATGGTTTGGCATGAGCTTCTGCAAATGGCTAGTAATGTAATTCCCAGTGTTCTAAGGCATCGGAGAATTTCATGTGACCCCGCTGTTTCAGAGCTGGTCTGGAAGCAAAGAATCAACTCCTCAGGGTTTCTTCCAGCTCTGAGATCTTACAGCAGTGGTCTCAACCTTCCTAACGCTGTGACCCTTTAAGCAGTTCCTCACGTTGTGGTGAGCCCAACCATAAAATTATTTTGTTGCTACTTCATAACTGTAATTTTGCTACTGATATGAATCACAGTGTAAATATCTGTGTTTTCCGATGTCTTAGGTGACCCCTGTGAAAGGGTCCCTTGACAGCCTGAGAAGGACTTAGAGGGTAAATGGAATGTTTGCCTCCAGTGTTCTGCCAGGACTGTCCACCAGATGGCACCATTCTCCCCATTCTTCACCAAGGACTTTGAAAAGCACAAACCGATCCAGACTTGAACTCATCCATCTGGAGGGTGACGCTTCACATTTCCAGCTAATGACACCCCCTACCCTCCCCACCAGCCCTCTCATTAGAGGAGGTAAATGTTCTTTGTAGAGCGGCCTCCTGGCAAATATGGCTGTCCTGGTGGACCTGGCTGAAATGCGCTCCCCACCAAGCACATTACCTGTGATAGCAGGAAAGTGTAAGACGTTATCAGCGTTAGTGAAGAAGCAAACACCACACTCTGGCCATTCACTGCTGGTTCAAAGAACAGTGTGGAAGGACCCCTCTGGAACCCTGGCTCTGGGGCTCTGGTTTCCTCTTAACAGGGTCCTATCACTTATGCCATATGGTACCCCATCAGAAAGGGCTTATGAGGCTGCTACCCACATGGACGCGCGCGTGCGCACACACACACACACACACACACACACAACTATCACAGAAGCCTCTGGGGAACAGCTGCCATATTTTAAAATGTTTTTGAGATAAAACTCTCTCCTGTGTCGGGTTGGGTGAGGCTGATTTACTTTAGCTACTATGTGGCATTAGTGCAAAGTGTCAGACCCTGGAGAGCAGAAGGTGCAATCTGAAGGGGTGCTTTCCCACATGACAATAGTGTCAGCACCGAGGAAGTGTGCGAAGGCATCTCTTGAGGGAGATGAGGTCTTCACGTTCCCCTGAGAGCACTGCTCTAGGAACTTCCAGACTTGAGCTCCACTGACAATTGGCTGGGGTGGAGTGTGCCCTTTCAACTCCAAGGCCACGTGGCAGGCATACGTCAGAGTGCAGATTCCATCAAGCACTCTTTCACAACTGCCTCCAGCACAGCAGGAAAGACATGTCTGAAGCGACTTTGGCAAAGCCACCACTGCCACTAGCCCCGTATGTGCGTCAGGCCCAGGCGCTGTTTCCAGCCCGGTGACCCCCGGGCCTGTCAGCAGGCTCCTTCCTAACCCTTCCTGCCCTGGGTCTCCTGCCCCCTCCTGCTCTGCGCAGAGCCTCTCCCTGTACTTCTCCGCTGTGCCTCCTGTGGAAGATACAGCTATGACAAGGGGTGGACAGAGCCCCGCCCCCGTGTGACCTCATAGTCATTCTCAGCCAGAGGAGAAGGAGCGTCTGAGCTAAACCACCGGCTTCTGGTCGCTGCTTCTTCTCCCACATAGGGGAACATCTCCAGGACGAGGTCACTGTGAGTGCTCCCATCACGCAGGGATAAACGTGATTTCTTAGGAAGCTTGGGGAACTTTTGCAGTATGCTTGAGCTTCTGCAAGAAAGGAAGCCACAGACCCTACTGGCTTCCAAGCCAGCCTTTGCTGGCACTACATTTCCAAAAGGGCTCACAGTCAAACACTTTTATATGGCAATTCTTCCAGTACAGGAGGGGACACCGTAAGCCCCTGAAGGCTGGGGTTCGGCCTGTTCGTCCTCCTGATGGGAGATTTATGTAATTCATGCCAGGTCACTCTGCTCATGCCCCTGCTGAGCAATGAGAGCCCAGGAGACAGCTGTCCTGGAGGAGGGGCACAGAATGAGGCAGGGCACACAAGTGTGAGCTCCTCCACCCGGGAATCTTCTAGAATCTGCTAGCAGGGGTCTCTCTCGTTTCCATCAAAATGCTCAGGTCACCACCCTTTGATTGACGAGAGGGTTACAACCCAAGGGGACAGCAAGAGTTTGGCCCAAGCATGGGTCCCCTTGCTACTCCACCAGGCAGGTGTGCGGTGCCATCTGCTTCCCCTGTCAGCACAAAGCTCAGGATTCACCCCAGGCGGCCCTCAGGACAAGGCAGGCAGATGATTGTACGATGGGAAGAGAGCACGCGTTGATTTCTAGCTAGTGAATTGGCTTCTGGTTTTAATTTTACAACCATTTGCTTTTATTTTATACGTATGGTGTTTTGCCTGCACGTATGTCTGTGTTAGTTTTCCTTCTATATCAATGTGAAGAAAGAGGCCATCTTTTCTTTATCAGAGCCCTCTAGCAGGGAGCTAAGGTTTTCTCAGGTGTGTGAATCACTGAGGCATAGACTGAGGGTTACAATACCCTGGCAGTTAAGACAAATTTTATTCAGAGCTGCACCTCCTCAGAAAACACGTGCCCAGGGCGGGAAGGTGAGGAGGGGTACCCAAGCACAGGGTGAGGCCACACCCTCTTCCCAAGCCCTGCCCTGAGTTGGCACAGCACGGAGATATCATGGACCAACCCTCTGCTCCCACCCGACAGCTGCAACTTCAGTGTCCATCTGCCAAGCGTGGAACACCCTACACAGGCTTCTGCTGCTGACAAAAACCCTTTGTATGCACACGCCTCAGAACGGCTGCTCGGAATTCAGCTGTGCCCTTCCCAGGTTCCATCTTCCCAAGTAAATAAAGTGCTCGGCCCTGTCTGTGGCCCTGGTAAGTTGGCCACAGTACCCTGAGGCCGAGCTGCACCTGTTCCTAAGTGCTGGGCAGAGGACAGCAGAGAAGCAGAGCGGTCATAAAGGACAAGAAAGTGAGGGTTGGACAAGTCTAGAAAGACTGCGAAGTTGGAGCCAGGGCCCATAGGCGGAAACTCCTTCGTTTCAAATTCTATGAAACCTAAATTCTAAATAAAATGTTAGAAGCTCAGTTCTGTACAAATCTTCACTCCACCTGGCACAAAGAAATTGTTCCTAGCTGATGAGTCTTGGGCAAGAAAAGCAGTCCATGTTCGCATGGTTCCCCATAAGATAGCATGTAACTTTGAGAGAATAAAATTGTCAAATTATTAATAATGGACAAAAGATTCTAAAGTTCTTCTGTCGATAATGCTCAGTGTTACCCTTCGGTTGTTGGCCTCACAAGTCCTTAAAGACTGCATTTTCTGGTAGAACTTTCTGGCGGAAAGTCAGCTATAGTTGTCTCTGAACACACGACTCTTCCTGCCCCAAACGATGTGATGCACTGTGGTGTTTTCTTTCATGAGATGTTCATTTTCTTTATATTCTTGCAAAATCATGCACACATGATTTATAATTGTGCCATCAAGGAAATTAAAAGTCAAAGGATCTGTTCTCATAATCACCTACTTAGCTTTCAGAATAGGCACTGTTTCAGTTTGGAGAAAAATGGTATTTGTTTTTTAAAATCTCTTCCAAAGAGCATGAGATGTCCTTTACATAAAACATTCCAAATAAGCAAATACATAAAAACAGGTAGCAGATTAGTAGTTTCTTATAAAGGGGAGGAGGAGGGAAGATGGAGCTCCTTCGCAGGATGACTAAAAATTCCACTGAATTACTTACTTAAAAGCAGCAGGCTGAATGGTATGTGGGGTTCTACCTTAGTAAAGACAGGAAGAGGTTAAACGACCATGAGCTCTGGCAGGTGCCTGTAGCCCAAGAAAGGTAAAAGAAGGGCAGAGCCATTGGTCAGGAGGCTCCTCAGAGAGGTGCTGTGTGAGCAGAGGAGCCATGGGTGAGCACAGTCTTCATTATGAAGAGCCTGGGCTGTCCTATGTGAGTGATAATGGATCGCTGGCTGAAATTTGAAGAACAGCATCATGTGCTGTCACACAAGTCTCCTAAAGACAAGCAAATCTGTCATCAGCTCCTCTCCTGTGTCCTTCACTGTGGCCTCACATAGAAACACTCCATGATGCTACGGTACAGCACAACCACGGTGAGTTTGGCCAACCATGCTCAGGCCCTTCTGTCCTGTGTGGGGTTTTGTTTGTGTTGTTGTTTGTTTGCCTGACACAAGCTAGGGTCATCTTCAAGGAACAAACCATGATTGAGAAAAGGTCTCCGGAAGACTGGCCTACAGGCAAGTCTGTGGGGGCATTTTCTTAGTTAGTGCTTGATGGGGGACTGGTCAGCCCATTGTGGGTGGAGCTACCTTCAGAAGGTGGTCTTGGGTTCTGGGGAAAGGGGGCTGAGCAAGCCTGTGAGCTGCCCCCCTCCATGGCCTCGAATTCAGTTCCCGCCCTGACTTCCTTCCGTGATGTGCTTTGGTAAGGAAGTATGAGTGAAATCATCTTCATTCCTTCCCGAGTTTACTTCTGTCACGGTGTTTCGTCATAGCAACAGGAACCCTGACTAAGACATTTTGTCATTGTGAATATCAGCCTCACATTTATACATTTGATAGTGTATAGAAGACGGGTCACAGATAAAAAAGTATAGACTAGTATCCTTCACCGATGCCAGGGTGGATCATCAGCCTCAGGGTTTTCATTTGCCTACTGAGGATTCGATGGGCAAAGGCTGGCAGCTCACGGAAACGGGAAATCTGTGAAAAGGCCAGGCGTATAGCGAGCGTGCAGGAACTCCAGTTCCTGAGCATCGGTGTATTGCTATTAATAAAGGCCCGAACTCTAGACGTGTGTCTAAAACACAAGCACAGGGAATGCGACTAGAGACCACGCCTTGGGTGTTGCGCCTACCTGCGGCAATGTAGGAGCCTCCTCCAACTTTGTAGAGGAGGTGACTGGAGAACGGGGCTGCACAGATGATCAGGAAGCTCGCAGTCACGGCGGCCACGACCCCCAGGAGCAGCAGGACTGCCCAGAAGCCACGGTAAACTGGAAACCAAGAACAAAGACAGAAATGCATTAGCCCTGCTTGGAGTGGCTGGCACACAGGACCTGGCTTCTCCTCGTTCTAAGGCCATGCAGGGCTGCTGGGCAGAATCTCACATAGCGGACCAGGCATGATCTGGAATACGCATCCTTAGCTTGAAACCAAGCTCGGCCACACCCATATGGACACACTTCAGCAATGCTTCTCGCTCAGCCTTAGCACCACCAACATTCTGAATGTATCAGCTCATTCCTCTAACCAAGGGTTTTCCTTTCTGGAAAGGGGAATGGTTGAGGATCTGCCCAGTGTGACCACAGAAAAGGCAACCCTGTGACTTCCAAACACCGCCTCATCTCACTGAGATGGCATTTGCACACTGGTGAGCCCCTGACAGCCCTAACCAAAAGGCTGGCTTCTGTTTAGACCACGGCTCTCATGGAGGGTATTGGTACACACGATAATAAAATTTAAACTGCTAAGAAAGGCTTGTATCAATAAAATAAATAAAAAGAATATAAAAGCGAAGAGGTAAAGTCAGCCGAGTATGGAATGTGGCTTTCATTAAATGTTTGTCTTACAGGAAGAAAGTGTCAGCGTGAAGTCGTTCGGGAGCCTCTTGCTCAAGGACAAACAGGCCGAGGAACTGCATGCAGCTGGTGATTAATGGATTGTGGGTCTGGTGATTTATAGTAATCAAAGGAAAAGGCATCCTAATGATCATTTTTGAGCTGGATAATTACCAATCTATTAAACAAATTCATCATTTCCCTAAGGCAAAAAAATGCTACAATGCATTCTCTTTTTGTGTAAATGGGGTAAGCTCAGAGAGATATATTAGTCAAATTATAATTTTCTTAAGGAAAATATAGAGTCTTTATGGGGAAATAAAATTTATTTTTCTCAATCCTGCCTCCAAGGAAGAAATATGTCAATCAACTGTGATCTTAGGAAACGAAGGGCAGGGCTCTAGAAAGCTGAGCTATCAGCCATCACGGTGCCAAGGGAAGAAAGTTTGCTGTCTTTGGGGTTGGCTAGGCTCTGGCTGCAGTGGTGAAGAGGTCAGCCTTCATCCTACTTTCCAGTGCTGACTCTTGGCCATAGCCCCCATGACTGCTGTGGTGTCTGGCTTGTAGCTGTAGTGAGGTTGGCAAAATATTTAGTAGCCAAGAAAGACAATTCTCCCTCAAGTGTGTCTCTGAATTTCTACCCCAGTGAACATTAGCATCCAATATCTGGAAGATGATCCATGGAGGAACCTGAAAAGGGGATCATCGTTCTCCAAAGCATGGGGGGGGGGGGGTCCTTGTTGAATATTTCCTTTTGGTTCTTGCTGTTTTTACAAAGATCTATGCCACAGGACTGGGTCTAAACTGGGCTAGAACTCAACCGAGAGCTGAGGGGATGGGGCACTGTGCTGGGAGAAAGCTGGGAAACTGAAGTTCCGTGCAGGAACCAACACTAGTATCAAGCTCACTCCCACGTTCCTCAGGCACAAATGCCCAGGGGAGTGTGTCAAAGCCTTTGAGAACCATATTCCAGCACCCCAGAGCCAACCCCAGGTAGGGCACACCAAGCGCAGGATCCCAACTAGGCACACTAAGTGCAGGACCCTGGGTTCTCTGAAAATTCAGTGGATGTCAAAGCTGCCAAGACAAACATAAAGGACAGGGTGAAAAGACTGGTTTTCTGGCCTGATAGGTTAATATTTTCTGAATTCTTTTAAAAATATAAAGTCAGAGAATATGCTATTCAAACCTGCCTAGGATACAACTTAGGATTATTTTATACACCAGGACCACGAAACTCTGACCAAGGCTTTGGGGAACAGGCAGGGAGTCAGCAAATGGGAGGCCAGTGATTCAGCTCTCAGCTCTCAGACAGAGTCCAGGCCGGTGCTGAGGGATGGATGCGCTTGAGATGCACGAAAAGAGCGGAGAAGCCTATAACAAACCAAGCGGAATCTCTGCATCTGCAGGAAAAATTTCTGAAAATGTGACGTCTGAGGTGGCTTTTTACCACCACAAGAGATGGCCTCGGTGACGACACAAAGAAAACACTGACAAATATGAGCTGAGGAAAACGAATGGTGTTCTGGATCCTTGTGTGACCAAATCAAAGGCTCTCACATTTGTATACACAGAGACTCCTCGAGCAGAAGCAGATTTTGGCTTAGAAACAAAGTTCTTCACAAAGCAAAGCCAATTATCTCCACGAGTGTGGGGAAAGACAAGTCTATAGACACAGGAACTCCGAAGTTTGTGAGGTCAAAGAAATTCTCTCAGACAGCTGAAAGTAAAGTGACTGAAAACTATTGCTCTCTTGAACGTATCTAAGGAGAGAAAAATGCCACATCCAGGGAGCGGTGACCACAAATCCCTCATCAGAGAGAGCGGGAGATAATATATAGTCTAAAAAATAAAAGAGATAATTAGGAAAACACAGTAGAACACTTTAAAGTGCCAGACTCTCTCAGCTTGAGAGTCTGCACCTAGCAACATCAAAAAACAGATGCGAGAAAAGGGCATTTGAGACTCCGGAATGAAGCATTTGCTGCAGCAGGCTCGTCCCACGGGAGCTGCTGCTCAAGTGGGTTCTTGAGATCCACAGCAGTCAAAACAAGACCACGCTTGGGAAATCAAAAACAAGAAAGGAAGTGATGAGGACCTGTGAGTGTGATAACCCATCACTTTCTCCTCTGAGCGCCTTAAAATGGATTTAAACATTAAGATTTAAAACTACAGCCAGCACACTCAGCAGCTGGGAGCCCTGTTGCTTGTCCTGAGGAAACTAGAAGATGGTTTTGAATATGCAGAAGAAGGATTCTGTGGGCAGCTGTGAGCCGCTGGACTTGGTGCAGGGACTCGAACTCAGGTCCTCAGCTAGGTTTGAGGTTCTTAGATATGATGAAGTGAGGTATTTTGTTTTGGTGTTGTTTGTTTTTTGTTGTTGTTTTTGTTGCTGCTGCTGCTGTTTGCTTGTTTGTTTATACTGGTTAAGTTTTCTGCTTTCACAAAAGCATAATAGTTTAGTTACAAAAACACTTCAGTATTTTTCCTCCCATTGTTCCTCAGCATGTCAGTATCAAATGGTCATGCCTTTAGAGGGTCTTCTGTCAGAAAACTTGATTTAAAAAATACTGCACAGTGGCACACATGTAATCCCAGCACTCGGGGAGTCAGAGGCAGGTGGATTTCTGTGAGATTGAGGCCAGCCTGGTCTACAAAGTGAGTCCAGGACAGCCAAGGCTACACAGAGAAACCCTGTCTCAGAAAACCAAATAAAAATAAAAACAAAAACCAATTTAAGTTGTTTAATTTCATTAAAAATATTGAAGGTATTCTGGCTTGAGATAAAAACAAAGCTCTCAACAATTTTTAAAGTGACCATAAACATACTTTTTGTCATTTTATTACATTTTTTGGGTGTAAGGTGACATTCTCAGCTTTGGCAACTATAAGATCAAAATATTGATCAATTCTGAAAAGCACTGAAGATTCTCTAACACTGAAATTTCAAATATTAAATCAAGAATTAATTTTTTATTAAAAAAGTAAATAGGCACATCTATCTCAGTATGCAATTTTTTTCATCTTTAATAAATGGTAAGTGTGTGTGTGTGTGTGTGTGTGTGTGTGTGTGTTATGTACGGAAACATTTTTTATTTCATTCACACAGTTTTGGAGTCAGGTTTCATTAGTCCAGGCTATGCCCTTGAACCTGCTGTGCAGCCATGTTTAATGTCAGGATTCTCCTGCTTCTACCTCCCAGTTGCTAGGATTAGAAGGCGCTGCCACCAAGCCCAGCTTAGGCTACATTGGGAATCAACCCCCATGCTTCCATGCTAGGCAAGCAGTGTCCGAACTCAGCTGTATCTCCAGCCCCGGACAAACTTTTGAAAATAAACTTCTTAGTAAATTATCTTCAGAAAATGTCTGTTTTGTATGTTTATTTTATACACCTATAGGCTGCACAGAAGTTTCGCTGGATGAAAGGAGCCAGAGTGGGAACCTTTAAGGAGCCTTGCCATTGTATGTAGATAGCCTTCTACAGCTCTGCAGCGTGGCCTTCTGGGAGCTCTCACTTGTGGATACAAACGTCTTTGTTTCACAGAAGAGACAGTCTCCGGAAGCTCCAGCCTTTGATCCAAGATTGTCCTGGAGGCGGTGATGACACACAGGACAGCAATCCTAACACCTACAGTTCCCACTGCAGTGCGGTGACAGCAGTGTGAAATCTGTTTTAATGTGTGTGTGTGTGTCTGTCTGTCTGTCTGCCTGTGTGTATGTCTAGGGCGTGCGACCACAGCGAACACTTCCAGAAACACCACAGAATATTCACACACTTGACTGAGAGTTTGGCGTGGTTGGTACACATTCAGAATAAGGTAGGGGCACTGCTGCCTGCCGATTTAACCAACAGGAAAAATAAAACGATTCCAGGGCAGATTCCTGGGTGATGTTGCCATGTGCTTAATTTTCCGAATAGGCTTCCAAACTTCTGGAGTGGATGCCTTCAAGCGCATCACAGAATTCCCTGGAGCTTCCTGCTTCTCTGACACATTGTATCCATTGTATCGCATTCTTTTTACATGTGCCACACTTTCCTCCCAAAGTCAAACGAGCATTCATAGCAAGAACCTGCTTCGTGGAACTGGGAAAAGCGTGGCCACGATCCATAGTAAATCTAAGATGATAAAGGATCGGTCAGCAGAAGGTGAGCTGTGTGTGAGCTGCGTGTGAGCTGTGTGTGAGCTGCGTGTGAGCTGCATGCGAGCCGCGCGTGAGCTGCGTGCGAGCTGTGTATGAGCTGCGTGTGAGCCGCGTGTGTACAGAGCCTAGTCTGCTTTGTGATGGCATGCTTCCATGGCTGCTTGCGTAGCAGAGGAAGCCGTGTCGCCTGCGTGCATGCGTGCGTGCGTGCGTGCATGTGAGGACACGCTAGGATCATTTGTGAAAAGTGGCTGCATGAGTTAAACCCTCAGATACAGAGGCTGTGGTCATAATTACCTACTACGCCTTGTGATAAAGCGTTCTTGTCAATACCACGGTCAACACTAACATCCATTATCTAAGCTCGTGGGTCAATAACGGAGCCAGCTTGGCAGTTCTAATACACCTGTTCCTGTGCGTGACTGTGCGTGTATTTATGGGCACACCTGGGCACTTAAGTAAGTTGCCACAGACAGAAATTCAATAGCACAATGAGCATAAATCCTGAGTCCCTAGTAAAGAGAAAACAGAAAGCTATTTACTTTCTACTGTGAATCAGTAAAAAGGCAATAAAATCTCATCAATGTGAAGGATGATGGGCAGAATCACTGAGCTTTGATTGTGGGTTTGTGAGTAAATTCCTTCCTGTGGCACTCACATTCACCAGGAACCCCAGAGAATGCCCCTGGGGTTGCTAGTGACCAGAAACTACCCGATTTAGCAGATGCATGCTGACGGCTGCCTGTATACAAAGTGCGCGGAACAGATAAGGCAAGACACAGTCCTTTCTCTCCAAGTTCACTGCAGCTGGGAAAAGCAGCTCATTTAACACCAATAACTGTCCTGGCAATGTTGTCCATCACCTCGTAGGCTTTAATGTGCACCGTGGCGTCACTTCAGTGCTGAGCGACAACGACAAAGACATGCTGTGCTTGGCCTCGATGCCTGCCTGGCCATTTCATGAAGCCACAGGACAGGCAGAGTTCAGGGTCATTCTAACTGGAGGAGGTGAGAACTCCATGGGAAACTAGGAGGAAGCGCCCCCCACCCCACAGCGGCTGTTCTGGCAGAACTGGTGACTCGGAACTGGGCAGGGCAGTGAAGCCTACATGACATGGCAGAGCTGGGCCAGTGCCTC